TGCCTGATATAGACACCGGCCCCACCGCGACCCTGACAAGGACTAAGCGGGAGAAGATGGATGGCTAGATTTCCGATTCCAGTTTCTTTAAACCAATTATATTTTTTAAACATAGATATTATTTCTTGTTGATAATGTGTGTTTGTATGTACAATTATTTCAGTCCACACTAAGACAACAGCCTTTAATAGATATATAGAGATTATTCTACAAGTCTAATGACAAACATCACTCACCAGAATCTGATCCCCCTACTCCTGCTTCCAATTAAACTCCTTGGTTCCGGCCATCAGTGCCAGATTATTCGTGAGCCTTTGGTGTAGAAAGTTTTCAAGCATTAGTAATAGTGTTCTGTTTGCCTGACCTTGACCTGTTTATGTATTCAGACTTTTGTGCTTCCAGGTGTTTTGAGCCAAAACCCGGAGGGCTCTACCAAGAACAACCAGAAACTATATTCCTCCTGCAAACCATGCTAAAAACCCTGAGGGCTCAGCTGAGAAAAGCTGGGACATGGCCAGACTACAAACACCAAACCCTCTCAATCCACTGGCCTCCTCTGCCTTCCTTTGTCTGCTTGGATCTGATCTCCTGTCAGTTCTGCAGCCTTCTAGGCCTCCACGTTTATAACTCTCTGGCAGAGTCCGCTGCTTCTTTTCAGCCAACCTTCCTGAATCATCCTCGTGTCCTGGGTACGGACTGAACTGTCAAACCAGGCGTTCCTGTCTTATGGAAAGCAGAGGTCACGTATAAATCTTGGCAACACGATTCTTAAACTCAGGCGAATCTGCACATACTCGATTTATAAGCTAAGTCATCTTGGTAAAAACATATTTTTCCTGTTTAAGTAATCAGAACCAACTTTGGCCAGCACACACACACTAAGACTTCAACATAGCATTTGGTCGCGAGCATACACATATAGGAAAATCAGAGCACAACAGACACACATATATTTCACACACTCACTCACACACATGGTTCAGAAAAGGTATAAATACACTGAGATGGGTGCGCCATATTTTCCTTAAACGTCCAACATCACTCGGACTTTAAACAAATCCTTAAACAACTCTTAAAGTTTTATTTCTTCAGTTTTGCTTATTTTCAGTAGTGTTTAGTATTTGCTTAGTTATTAGGTATAATACTGTGTGATTGTAGCTAATAAAGGTACCATTGTATTAGAACCCGTGGTCTTTTGTGTTCATTTTACACAGTGAACGATTTATCACTCAGGCTGGATTCATTCAGTACAATCCGAACGAACAGAGACACATTTATTTGGTTGGTTGTTATTAACATTGCTGATAGCAATAGCCTAAATTACTAAATTGGTCAAAGACAACTGGATTTTTAACAGCCGGATTCAGGAGTCAGACCTTTTAGGTAAGAGGCTAAAACACTGGTCAGTAAGCAAATTACAGTTAAAATCATTCAACTGATAATAAATAACTAGATTTACACTTAATTTCTATTTGAATTCTATGGTTCTATTTATCAAATATATTCATAATCTTCTGGTAAGCCGGCACAACACTGTTGTAGTAATTAATATGAACTTTACTTAGATCTTTTATTCTTAGATGTTTAGTCAGACAATACAGGGGGTCTAATGTCATACCCAGAGCCTGTAGATATTGACCAACATCATTACACATTGCTTTAATCTTTTTTACCAATATTGGCCAAACACATGGGGGAAGAAGAAAAAGCTTGCAGATCACTTCGATCTGCAATTACTTGGACTCTGATATTTGTTATTTGAACTTAAAAACAATTTCCAAAAGCCATCATTTTGCATTCGATAGTTCCAACAAATGCATTATTATTTACTCAATATTAAAATTAGATTAACATGTTAAACTTGGAGTGCTAAATGCAACAGAGTTGGAGTGGAAAGCTCATGACACAATGGATCAACAGGTTGAAGCTATGACACTTAAAGAAACAAAAAATAAAACAAAACCAAACCATTAAAAAATACTTATTTAATATAACTGATACAATTAAATCACTAATAAAAAATTTCCTGGATTCCATGTCATGTATCAGTACAACATTCCTGTAGGGGGCAGTGTGCCATAATTTACAGCACTAAAGTGATGCAACATATGATTTATTTTGAAGTTTCTTGTGCTAATAATCAACAAAACAAAAAACTAAAACCACTCCATTTCCAAAAACAGGATCACAAAACTGATTTCAGTTTTTCAAGCTTATCAATCATTTGACATTTCATTACTGATTTCAAAGGTTTTTGCTGTCAAAAACAAAAACAAACTAACAAAAAATTCCTTGAGCTAATCAGCTTTTTGAGACAGAATCTTGTGAAATTATCAAGTTGAACAAAATATAATTTGATGATGATTTCTGACAGCTTATTTGCAGGTTAGACAACAACAATGATCTAGAAAACAATTTGTTAAAGTAGCAAAAATCAGAACAAAACCTGCAGTGGATTCCTGTCTATTCTGGTTTACAGAACTCTACTGAGTCCCCAACACAAACTCCAGCATGCAGCGGCTCAGTGAATGTGGTCTGGACTCTGTGGAGGAGAGTCATGGTTTCAGACACATCATAGAAGGACAGAATACCTGCTGAGTGATCCAGGTACACTCCTATTCTGGAGGAAACAGGACCTGAGATGGAGGTCCAGATGTTGTTGTGACCAAATTTGTAGCCATTTGGTGAACAATCTAATGCCCAAGATTTGTCATTATATCCAAATCCATATTCTGCTCTGCTCATTTTTTTGTATGCAACTGCTATGTAAACTCTCCTGCTCCACTCCACCTCCCAGTACCCAGATCCAATAAGACTCTCTCTGCTCAGAACTTGATAATAATCACTGAATCTGTCTGGGTGACTAGAAGACTGAGGTTGACTCATCAGTGTGACCTTCCTGTTCCCATCTGATACTAACAGATATTTGTTTGCTGAATCTGGATCCAGTGTAATTTCTCTTGAATATCTTAAGAATCCAGCTCTACTATTTGGTTCTGGTTCTGACAGTAAAACCTTCTCTCCAGTGGTTATAAGTGAGACATTTGTCCATGTGTCTCTCATAATGTCCTGTAGTTTGTCTCTGAGCTCTGACACAGCTGCTGTCACATCCTCAAAGTGTCTCAGAGGA